ACACATAGGGAGGCGGTTGCAGTTTGTCATGAACCTGATGAGCAGGAAATACAGCCAATTTCAGATGCTCTGTCTGCTAATTCCATAATTGGTGTGAACACTGTTGAATCAACAGCAAAGACACAGTCAACGACATCTAAAACTGAGACAAACCAAGCTTCACAATATGTGCAACCCCTTTCTGAAATGGCAGAGAAACAGTTAGATAACAGGGTAGATAGTAAAGAAATTATGACAGAAACAACACCAAAGACACAGTCAACAACATCTAAAACTGAGACAAACCAAGCTTCACAACATGTGCAACCCCTTTCTGAAATGGCAGAGAAACAGTCAGATAACAGGGTAGATAGTAAAGAAATTATGACAGATACACCGAAGAGCTCATTGAGCAGTGTGCAGAAAAAGGAGCCAATTTCAACAGGAGCATTCAAAGCAACACACAGGGAGTTGGTTGTAGTTTGTCATGAACCTGATGAGCAGGAAATACAGCCAATTTCAGATGCTCTGTCTGCTAATTCCATAATTGGTGTGAACACTGTTGAATCAACAGCAAAGACACAGTCAACAACATCTAAAACTGAGACAAACCAAGCTTTACAATATGTGCAACCCCTTGCTGAAATGGCAGAAAAACAGACAGATAAGAGGGTAAATAGTAAAGTAAGGATGACAGAAACACTGAAGAACTCATTGAGCAGTGTGCACAAAAAGGAGCCAATTTCAACAGGAGCATTCAAAGCAACACATAGGGAGTCAGTTGCAGTTTATCATGAACCTGATGAGCAGGAAATACAGCCAATTTCAGATGCTCTGTCTGCTAATTCCATAATTGGTGTGAACACTGTTGAATCAACAGCAAAGACACAGTCAACAACATCTAAAACTGAGACAAACCAAGCTTTACAATATGTGCAACCCCTTGCTGAAATGGCAGAAAAACAGACAGATAAGAGGGTAAATAGTAAAGTAAGGATGACAGAAACACTGAAGAACTCATTGAGCAGTGTGCACAAAAAGGAGCCAATTTCAACAGGAGCATTCAAAGCAACACATAGGGAGTCGGTTGCAGTTTGTCATGAACCTGATGAGCAGGAAATACAGCCAATTTCAGATGCTCTGTCTGCTAATTCCATAATTGGTGTGAACACTGTTGAATCAACAGCAAAGACACAGTCAACAACATCTAAAACTGAGACAAACCAAGCTTCACAATATGTGCAACCCCTTGCTGAAATGGCAGAAAAACAGACAGATAAGAGGGTAAATAGTAAAGTAAGGATGACGGAAACACTGAAGAACTCATTGAGCAGTGTGCATAAAAAGGAGCCAATTTCAACAGGAGCATTCAAAGCAACACATAGGGAGTCAGTTGCAGTTTATCATGAACCTGATGAGCAGGAAATACAGCCAATTTCAGATGCTCTGTCTGCTAATTCCGTCATTGGTGTGAACACTGTTGAATCAACAGCAAAGACACAGTCAACAACATCTAAAACTGAAACAAACGAAGCATCACAACATGTGCAACCTTTTGCTGCAATGGCAGAGAAACAGTCAGATAACAGGGTAGATAGTAAAGAAAGGAAGGCAGAAATGCCAAAAAGCTCATTGAGCAATGTGCAGAAAAGGGAGCCAATTTCAACAGGAGCATTTAAAGCAACACATATGGAGTTGGTTGCAGTTTATCATGAACCTGATGAGCAGGATATACAGCCAATTTCCGATGCTCTGTCTGCTAATTCCATCATTGGTGTGAACACTTTTGAATCAACAGCAAAGACACAGTCAACAACATCTAAAACTGAAACAAACGAAGCATCACAACATGTGCAACCTTTTGCTGAAATGGCAGAGAAACAGTCAGATAACAGGGCAGATAGTAAAGAAAGGAAGACAGAAACGCCAAAGAGCTCATTGAGCAGTTTGCAGAAAAAGGAGCCAATTTCAACAGGGGCATTCAAAGTAACACATATGGAGACAGTTGCAGTTCACCATGAACCTGATGAGCAGGAAATACAGCCAATTTCAGACCCAGTTAATGTGATTGATGTGAGAATGGAAGATCCATGTGTACTTGAGATGAAGGCTTCACAAAATGCACTACCTAGCACTGAACCAACTGTCACAGGTTTTGAGGAGACTGTACCAGACGGGCAGAAGAAATCAGATGAACACAGCCATGGAACAGATACACTGCAGCTTAAAACTGCAATGGCAACGGAGAAGGAAATATCCGAGACACCGCCGTTGGTTAAAGACACTGAACCAACAACAGAAGATACACAGTTGTCTTCAGATGACATTAATTTTTTCCAGTTGACATTAAGCCTCATGTGGCTATAGAAAGTACAGGTAATGAAAGCAAACTTACAGAAATAGATCTGAAACAGACTGTAACAAGTGTTGATCCCAGTGAATTAAGCAAATCCAAATTGGCAACAAATTCAACCCTTGCTGATATACTACATGAGTCGGAGGAAAGTCCAAATGACAATCTACCAGTGTCAGTGAAAGACTTGAACCAAAGAGAATTGAATCTGGAACCAGATCTAAGTATTCTAAAAAATCCAGACCAAATTAAGGATGATGAGGATCTTTTAGGAAAATATCATTCAGAAGTGGCAGTCTTGTCCAGTGAGCAGCCAGTTGAGGCACCAGTGACAGAGAAAGGTGATCAGTTTGATGCCGAAGAATTAATACATGACACTGACAGGGTGGAAGTAACACAGACTGAGGCAAGTGACTTTGGTGTTGAACATACTACCATGGAAACACCAAAACATTCTGAACCAGTACCAGTGAATATTATTGAAACTACAGCACATGTAGAATCAACAGAAGTGGAGGCTTCCAGAGATGAGGAAACGGATGTCAAACAAACCAAAAAGCTTTCAGAAGATGAAAATCTAGAGTTACACACAGCACATACAGTGGAACTGGGACCTACTGAAATGGAACTTGATGTTAGGGCAATTGTAGCTGAAACTGAAGGAGTTGAGGAATCCAATACAATGGCAGATGATACCACAGTAAATACCAACAATGTGCTGCTTTCTGTTACAGAGGAAGAAACTCAGTCTTTCACAACTGCCAAAGTGACACAACTCATGTCATTTATGGGGCCTTCAGAGGTGACAGTGGATAATACACAGAATTCAACTTCAGACCTGGAATCTGAAATCATGGTCTTTGCATCAAATGAACAGCAAGTTATAGCAGTAGGGAAGCCAACTGGGGTTGATAATGTACTTCCTTCTGGGAGTACATGTAATAACACACCATGTTTGGAGCCCACTGCTGTCCCTGGAATAGAAATGGACACAGATGTAGTGCATGTACCGGTAGTTGTAGAAACACAACCAGTAGATGCTGTAGAAACCCTTGTTGATGAAACTTCTACTGATGCACAATTCATTGCAGCAGATGAGAACCCACAGGCTACAGATGTACCAAATGTTCCAACAAAAGATGAGCCTGTAGCATCAGAAAATAAGAATATGCTAGAGAATGAACAATGTTCTTCTTTGGTTAAAGCATGTTGTGTAGTCAGCATAGAGCATAATAAAACATCTAGTAATTATAAATCAGGAGATGTGAAACCAAGTGGAGAAGAAAATGCAGCCGTTGAAAAACCAGAGGTAAAGCCTGTAGTAGATTTGCATGGTGCGGAAGATACAGCTATGATACCCCCAGCACACAGCCAGCAAACCCAATCAGCTATAGAATCTACTGTGGGGGATATTGTGAAAACTACTTATGATGTAGCACGTGCTGTGTCAGATGAAATACTAGCTTCAGAAGAAAATAATGAGCCCAAGGGGGGATTGATCCCTTCTGTGAAAAAGGAAGAACTGACATTGAGTATTACTTCTGGGTGTATTCAAGATGTTCCAGAATGCAAGAGGAATGTTTCAGGTGTTTTGCAAGAACCTGGCAAGGATTATGTAAAAAAAGCAAACTCAAGGAAGTTATTGACAGACTTTGAAACAAATACTGCCAAGAACAAGGAGAAAATGTCAAAGATGGCCTCATTAGTGCTACCTGATAGGACATATGCACAGCATGATATGCTGAAGACAGAAAAACCTGATATCCCCGGAGCTAATATTAAACAGTTGGAGGATGCAGGTATACAGTCTGGCAAAAGAGCACATTGTGCTATTCCTGGTGAATGTTTAGAGGTAGAGAAAGGTTCTCAAGTTGCAACTCATCTCAGAAAAGAAGATAAGGAAGTTTCTCAACAGCATGAAACTGCAAGTGAAAGGACACATTCAATAAGAAAGAAACCAACTATAAAATTGAGCCTTTTAAAAGATACATTAAAAAGAAGAGAAGTGAAAAGTTCCATAGTAAAACTAGAAGCAGGTGAAATATCTGCAACAGACATCAAAAAGGAAAGTAAAACAAAACATGTTAAGATGCCTGATGATAAAATTACAGCAGTCTCAGACACTAAAGAGAAAGCAAGTGAAAACATGGTAGAGACACAGCAGAAGAAAATTGGATTACAGCAAAGAGGGGATGGTAAACAGCAGTCAAACACAAATGTAATTCAAAGCACAAGCAAACACTCAGAGGCACTAAGACATGTGACAGTTCCAGAAAAAAATGAACTTGTAAAACAAAATTCAAGGACTTTGTCTCACGAACATGAGGGAAGCCAGATACCAGTAGTAATTCAGAAGTCTCCAAGACCAACACCACCATCTCCAGTGCTTTTGGAGGGAAATAAAATTTCAGTTCAAATAAGCCAAAGGCAAGAAAGCCCCTTCAAAAAACAAAAGTCTGTGGATGAGTCTCGTGAAGTTAAACCACTTCCTAGAAATGTAGAGAAATTTAAACTTGAAGAAAGTATTTCACCTTTGATTAAAAAAGCTCCCATGCAGCCTCTTAAACATGTGCCCAGTGTTAGTCCTTCCCTATCGCAGTCTCAGGACAAAAAATCTCACCAAAGCAAGATACACAACAAGTGTTTGTTGATAAAAGCAAAATAGGAGAAATGCTGCATTGTATACGAAAAGACATGGAAAAGAGGGAGAAAAATTATCCTGTAACTGATTACAGGGCTATTTTCACCCAGCAAGAATGCCAGAAAGATTCTAGAGAGGAGACGCCACCAGAAAGTCCCAAAGAATATGTTGAGAACCCTTTCCATGATGTCGATATGAGACCACCACCAATTATATCAGCTTCTCAAAGAGAAGAAATTCTAATTCATGAAGTTTCCAGGCGAGAATTGGTGGATCCCATAAGATTACCCTTGCAACCAGATCAAAATGTACAGAATTTTCCACCAACAGATAACAACTACCAACATCCTATACGTTTTCATCCTCCCAACCATGAAGGGCCAAGTGCATTTCACACTGATTTTCCTAGACAGTCTCTAGCAGAATCTACTCAACATTATCACCAACCATCCATCCCCAAGAATAACTCCACTGCCTTTTTTCAAGCCCCTTTTCCACCCTCTGGCCCTGTGGCCCATGAAAAGTCATCAGAAGTTGCAGACCCTCCCTTTCAACCTACATCTTCCAATATGGCTCCTGCATTTCAACATCATGGTAACCAAATGACAGAGCAAGACCAACTAGATGACTTTGGTAAGAACCAATTTGATATGTCTCACAGGCGCTTTACTCGAATAACACCCCAGTATCAGCATGTGGATAGTTCTCCTTGCTATACATGTACAGCTACCTATAATATTGGTTATCCTTACCCAGTGTGCACTGTGCCTACTTCAACTAATATTGTTTCCTCTAGTAGCTATAGACCTGTGGTGAAACAGTCTTTTTGTGCTGCTGCTGAACAAAAATCCTTACCACCAGCTGACATTACAAAAACTAGAAAACACAGCTATGAAGCAAGTTTTTCAGCCATACATGATATATTACATCCTAATGTTGCTGAGAAGGTTATCCCATCTACCATGTCAGCTGGTTTGCCATCATCAAATAGTTTCTATCCAAGAGTCTCTTTTGGCTGTGGTACTTCAAGTGTTGAATCAAACCCACCTTTGTCTCAATCTACTCCCAGTGATATAACAAGTTATTACGACCATAATGGAACAGCAGTGAACACTGATCCCATATACAACTTTGCTTTGGCGCCAATTAACAGAATGTCTGTGAACAAATCTGATGAAAATGGGTCTGGGTTAGTTTCCTCTGCATCAGATATATATGTATCATCATCCATATGTACAACCTTTAACACCACACTTAGTAGTCTGAGGAGCTCAACTAGCAGTGTAACCAAGCCTGTGTTGTATGACAAGCCTATGTTGAGTGTGGCTTCAAGTCCATTGGCAACTATTACTGCTACAACTTCTACTAATGGTGGCTTAGTACATTCTTCTTCAACAAGGACAAAGGATGTGTTCGGCAAGATGCCAGCATCTGCATCCTCTACCTCGACCACTTCTTCTGTTCAGTGTTACTCTGCTACTTCCAAGCCTAGCTCTGGTATTTAGTTTTTGTTTGCTTTTTTCTAATTTTGTTATGTTTTGCCTTATTGAGTTGGAATGCTTAACTTGTGTTTTTTTCCTATTGCATCCCTTTTTTATAAGATGTGGTGTTTTATTAATTCACACTGTTGTATTCTAATTGTTTACATTTTCTTTCCTTTTAAACCATGAGATTTTGATACACATCCTTAAGTGTTTTATCTATAACATTATAATGAAAATTTAGATGAAGAATGGCTTGCTTAACAGAAATATTTTTCACATTCAAGAATCCTATTGAGTCTTAAACATTGAATAGCATATTGTGTCCCTGAATGTTGTATTTTGCCCCTGTTTAGATCATGGGTTCAATTCTGTTTCAGAAGACGAAATCATCCTAGAGGAGTTCACTGAAGAGAGGTGGAATGAAATGGTAAGAGCAAAGATATTATTATTTATCTTTCAATTGTTTCTCCTGTAGTATCTCCTGTAGGGATGAGCCTTTACCATTGATATTATCTGCTTATTTAATTTGCACATGAGGTCTCTCTGTACCGTAAACTTTCCAAAATGGTAGAAATAGAATAAAGTAATAAGATTGACACACACACTTAATATATATATATATATATATATATATATATATATATATATATATATATATATATATATATATATATATATATATATTAGTTTTTTTTAAACAAAATTGTTATCTTTCAGGGAGCAGAACTTTTAGAGGCCATTGAGATTTCTAACTGTAAGTAGTTTGGGTGAAACATTGGTTTGGTATGTTTAGTAAATGATACCAATAAAAATAAAATGTGCAAGTTTATTCCACCTTAACTTTTAAAGGGCAATATGTATAATTTTCCAAGCTGCTTCACATCTCCGTATACCAATAGACTCTGAAAATGTGATAGTTGTTAATTGGTTGAAGTTGAAATTGAGACATAAAGTCCCTGGGAAAACTCCTTTGTGCAGAAGATTGCAAGTATCATGATCAAAGGCGTTGAGGACAAATGCATGATAATTTAATCAATACATGTGCAAGTCTTGTATTTGTATTTGTAGCTGACTTGAAACATGCTGTGAAGGAAGGGATGTATGAGAGGGTGAGGAAAGCATTGAACAGCCAGAAACAGTACAACCTGGAGCAGCCTGATCAAATGGGAATGACATTAGTCATGCTTGCTGCTGCTAAAGGTAGTATTGCAAATTGAAGTCTTAGTATCTGTAACTGTCTGTATTTGTTACAGTTCCCAATACTGGTCCATTATTGATGCTATGCATAATATCCCCCTTTTTCCTATGAATCTGTTTCCTTATTCAAAGTTAGTCAATCATTCCTTTTTATGTACAGACACAGATGTGTCTGTACATATAGCCGTCATCTGCGTCTGTCATCGCCTTCGCCGTCGTTGCCGTCGTCGCCGTGCACTTTTACCGATAACACGATAAGTGGAAAACTGTTTTTTCTTTTTGTTTGAAACTTACAGAACTGATGAATATTCATAATACGCAGGTTGAGTTCGAAAATCAGCATGATCGGGTCACTTATATGGAATTTATGCTGTTTTTTCACTTTTTTCAGCATATATGCAGCACCGATAACACGATAAGTGGAAAACCATTTTACCTTTTGGCTTGAAACTTACAGAACTGATGAATATACATAATACGGAGGTCAAGTT